TCAAAGATTACCGATTATTAGTGTTATAAACCCTCATGCTTACCACTGAGTCACCGGGTGGCTAATGAAATTTCACTGTCACTCTTATGACGCATCCATGGACTATAAGTGTGGAAGGATATTGTATTTTCTTTGGCGATAACAGGACGCAAAACATAGAACCTCATCTTCACAGTCTGGCACACTAGCCATTGGACTGTCTTCGGCAAATATACCAGAAAGACCCAGTATTTATTAGTTTAGCATAACCTTTATTATTAGATAATAACAGTTAATGTAATATTTTTTATGTTACTTATAATCATGGCATAGCAAATGATATGCAGTCAATAAGGACTTGAAGTTTATTACATACTGTAAATATGATTTTTTCATATCCAATCAGAGGCATCGCTATGCACTGATACACGGGAACCGTGCTCCAATTCTAACTGATAGTGCCCCGAATCTCCAGTTAGTGTCTTGAAAAATCAAGATAGAAAACCAGGATCAATATCATACTGAAACGCCAAAAATTCTCGCGCCTATGCGCCTGAGACCCGAATCTTTTAAGTATCTACGACGCCTCTGTATACAATCATTTTATTTACGTTTTGTCCTTTACTGTTTTCAAAGTTAACTCCTTGCAATGTCTAATCAAAATTGTTATCGCAAAACACATATAGCAACTACCCCTGAATTTATGGTGAAAGCATTAACTTGTTCCACTGTAACCTAGAGGCAAGAAGAATTACTAAAACTATAAAAAAGAGAAAAAGAGGACGAAACCCCAGGGAAAAAGGAGTGTGTTTCCTCTCTTTCTCTCTATCTTTTTTTTTCTTCTTCTTCTTTAAGCTGACCAGATTTAAGGGCTGGGAAATTCCTTCCGTATAAAGGCCGGAAGTTTGAATTCATCGGAGCAGATGCATGTAGATGTACGAGCTTTACGCACCAGAAGGAGAAATATTATTGGTAAAGTGTAAACTATTTTCTGGTTGTAATATCGAAGAGGAAGTATATACACATTTTGTTTTAGTGCATTGTTTAGTTTAGTTTTTACAATTACAACAGCACTTTTGTACTGAAAACCATTTTTTTCACATCAAATCAGTGATCATTGTAACGACAATTTTCCTGCTTATACAAAACTATTTCGAGCAAATAACTATATAGTGAAAAGATTTTGAATTCACCAAAATATGAGCGTCGGCAATAACTTCACAAACTTTCGTAAAGTTTTCTTCGTAGACGATTTAAAAATATGGCAGGAAAAATTAAAATTATTTTATTTAGTCGTCCAAATGCCTTAAGATAAACAAGTTTTATTCGCCGAGTCAGTACGAAATAGTTTTATTTATGTTTGTTTGTTGTTAACCGCAAAGCTACACAATGGGCTATCTGCGCTGTGCCCGGCACAAGTATCGAAATCCGATTTATCGCTGAATTTATGTGGGCATTTTATTTATAATAACACAAAGTAACTACATTTTATTTTTCATTCGTGTTAATATTATTACTTCACAGGTTTAATATTCATTAATTCTTTTTTTTTTTTGCTACTTGCTAATGTTTAACATATAAAGCCAAATTATGATACAAAGTGTACATTTGAGCAGTCTCGTTCCAGTTCTAAAACGAAATTCGGACTTTTTTTCTGTTACTCTTTTAATTTTAATTTCTGATCGGAGAAAAATTCAAAAACTCCCTTAAACGTTATCAATGAATTAGAACCGAGTCAAATCTAAATTAATAACCTAATTATATAGTAACAATGGTTAAACATATACTCAGATGTTTTGTTAAATTCAGAATACATGATATAGGATTCAATTACGAATAGAAGTGCTATTTTGACTTAAAAAACGGAATTATTAAAGGATTTAAGAATCGTGGATTAAACTGTAATGTAACCTTTTTTTATTGTTGCAGGATTCAGTAATGCTATATATACATATAATTTCGAAACTTAACCCTAAGACAAAGCCTTATCGACTGGAGTTCTTGGGTTGTGACATTTTGTAGTTCTCATTAAAACAAAAATGCTAACTTCTGACTATAGAAGTTACAATATATATATTTTCCCAGTAAGGCGGCTCTATCTGCTTTGTACAATGTTGAGGAAAACCTTTTAACCTACTCTTCGTATGTCGCTGTTACTACTGGGTGTGTGGCTGACTGAGCCTATATGCACGTGACAGAAAGCCGCTTCACTCACTGGATCGTCTGTTCCATTTTAGTGTACGTGTAACGTATATATTTAGTTCGTTTTAATAAGTTGTTCATTTGAATATTCTTGTCTACTTCTGATTACTGATTTATAAATTACTACTAGTCATCCACAGTAACAAGGAGATAATTAGGAACACCACACGTATACAAAAAACGATATAAGTAATAATAGTAATAATATATATATATATATATAGACGAGCATTCGATAAATAATCACGCTTCCAGAAGACGCGGTACAGTATTTCGTTAAGTACACAAAGTGTTGCTTTCTTCTCCTCTCCTCCTTTGACCAGTTTAAAATTACGGGATTTTCTGTGAGTTATTAAACTTAAGTCAGACTGTTAAAAACTTGTTGAGATATTATATTTTGAACCCATGAAATAAGGTGCTTCCAATCTAATGTTTTTTCTTCTTAAATAGGTAACAAAGTTCGAGGACTTGGTGCAAACTAAGAGAATTACATGTCGTGATAAGTTTCCAACATAAAAGTTTCTCGGTATTGAAAACAGCCACAAAAAAGGTGGGAGTCTTTCTCTTATTTTTAAAAGTAAAAGCTGAAAAAACTAAATATTGCCATCATAAAATATAAAAATGGTGTACTTGTTGTAATCTTAATGATAAATTTTGGGTCTACGAGGTAAAATTCTTCATAATAGCCTATTTTCTAAAAATGTAATGAAACCTCTGTTTACAAATAAAACACCCGAAATATATTTATATGTATATAGTTACAGTTTTGTTTATCTTAATCACTGGATAAAAATAAGGAAGAACTAATATATGTTTGCTGACACAGAGAAACATTACTTTATGATTTAAATAATAATTCACACTGGCAGAGACGTCACTTGGCACCGGCACGTACCTCGATTCTATTTGAAAGTGCCCCGAATTCCCAGTTGGTGTTTTAAAAAATCAGAATAGAAAACCATGATCGATATCAAACAGAAACGTCGAAAATTCTCGCGCCTATTAGCCCGAGCCCCGAATCTTTTAAGCACCTAGCGACGCTTCTGCACGCCGGTGTTAATTTAATAGTGCAATAGCCTTTTCGCTGATCCATCTGCTTTTGCTAGTTAGGACTATAACTCAGTAAATGTTAACTTTTTAATGCTTTGGAAATGTTTATAGATTCCATTTTCCGGCCAAACATATAGAGAGAGAAATAAAAAATACATACATTGGAATGTGTTATAGTAAGATAAAACTGTCAATAAAGAAAGAAAAACATTAAGAGTATTATGTGTCAAATTACGTTAACTTGAATAATCCGTGAAACATTTTAAGTAATTACGTAATAGTGATATTACAAAAGTGAATAAATCAATGTTGTTCACAAAGCAATACTTTTATTCAACAAAATGTTCTAGAAGCCATATAAACACTTTGAAAATGAAATTATGAATTTAAAATGTATGTTTTGGGTTTTTTTCTCTAAAATAAAAAAAGAGATTGCTCCTTCGGGGTCATTAATAACAATGTTTTCTTCGGATTCATTAATAATAATGTTTTCTTCGGAGTCATTAATAACAATTTTTCTTTGGAGTCATTAATAACAATGTTTTCTTCGGGGTCATTAATAACAATGTTTTCTTCGCGGTCATTAATAACAATGTTTTTTCGGAGTCATTAATAACAATGTTTTCTGCAGAGTCATTAATAACAATTTTTCTTCGGAGTCATTAATAACAATGTTTTCTTCGGAGTCATTAATAACAATGTTTTCTTCGGAGTCATTAATAACAATGTTTTCTGCGGAGTCATTAATAACAATTTTTCTTCGAGTCATTAATAACAATGTTTTCTTCGGGGTCATTAATAGCAATGTTTTCTTCAGAGTCATTAATAACAATGTTTTCTTCGGAGTCATTAATAACAATGTTTTCTTCAGTCATTAATAACAATGTTTTCTTCGGAGTCATTAATAACAGTGTTTTCTTCGGAGTTATTAATAACAATTTTTCTACGAGACATTAATAATAATGTTTTCTTCGGGTTCATTAATAGCAATGTTTTCTTCAGAGTCATTAATAACAATGTTTTCTTCTGAGTCATTAATAACAATTGTTCTTCGAGCCATTAGTAACAATGTTTTCTTCAGAGTCATTAATAACAATGTTTTCTTCGGGGTCGTTAATAGCAATGTTTTCTTCAAAGTCATTAATAACAATGTTTTCTTCGGAGTCATTAATAACAATGTTTTCTTCGGAGTCATTAGTAACAATGTTTTCTTCAGAGTCATTAATAACAATGTTTTCTTCGGGGTCATTAATAACAATGTATTCTTCGGAGTCATTAATAACAATTTTTCTTCGAGCCATTAGTAACAATGTTTTCTTTGGGGTCTATAATAACAATGTTTTCTTCGGGGTCATTAAGAACAATGTTTTTCGGAGTCATTAATAACAATGTTTTCGCTTAATTGACATTTTATGTGGAGAATGTTAATTACTCTTTTACAATTCAATGAGTTTTGTCACTTTTTTCTATCTATTTGGAGATACATTGGTGCGGGAATAGATGCTTGTAAAAGTAAATCAAAACGTTGTCTCAAAATAAGCAGAAACGGGTGCATAAGCTTTTTGTGTCTCCCTTTAGCTTATTTAATACAATACACAGATGTAAACAGTAAGTGTTTTTTTTTTCTTTGAAACACCATTGCCGAGAAAGATCTTACGTCAACTCAGTACTTTCATAACAGTAGCTTTCATAAGGCTGATGTCATATTTCGTTCGTAGGCTTGCATCCAAAGCTTTGATCAACTAATTATATTTCTTCGTATCTCTAAAAAGTAAAATTCTAAGCAATTATTTAAAAAAATGATGAATTCTATACAGGTATCATATACCTGCCATAGATAATTTTTAAAACAAATATGTGACGTAAGCCAATGCTCTAGAATATTGTAAAATTTTTTTCTTTTTTGGTTTTTTGTTTCCCCAATTACTGTTCCTACGAAGTTTGTTTGTTTACTGGATTTTTTATATTAGTATAGAGGTTTTTAAGTTAGACACTTTAAAACGTTACTCATAAAATTACGTTTTGCCCATTCCATATTTTCAGTTTGATAGGACAATATGAAGTAATTTCATCTACTGTAGTTAGATATGTTAATTTTCCGGATAATTATTTCTAAGAAAACATTTCCCTTTTTCTTTTTCAAAAATTAGAATATTTAATAACATGACACCCAAAAACATTGCTACTAATAAATAATTTCAAATTTAGGCATGTATTTACCACCTGTAATTTCTTTATGAGGGGGTTTTGTTTTAAATAATATTACAAGGCGAAGACGTAATTAAAATAGTCGAGCTTAATCTATTTTTAAAGTGCTCTTTGTTTTGTTTGTATTACACTTTTTTAGTATTTTTGCACAACTCTACCAAATATAAATTGTTTAAACCACAAACATCACTATTTACAAGCCACAGAATCATTACCATATGTCACTCTTTTTAATATAACTACGAAGCTGTCTTCATTGACGTCGTCTTTATTTGATTCTCCATGTTCCTAAGTTTCTTCTTTTTGATTTCTGCTGGCCCTTCCTGTCCTGCTAGTGCTTGCACTCACACCTATAATATTCTCTTTGTCTTTTCTATGTTGCTTCTGCTAGGCTATCATCTTTGGAGACGTGAAAATTATAATTAAATGTAACAAGTTTAGCTGTTTCGTCCATTGTGAAGCTTTTTACAGAGGGCTGTGTACATTACCTTGAAACCATTTTGAATATGCTACTCACTTTAAAGGACGCAAAATATTCATACATTCAGATCATAAACGTGTGTTGAGATCAGAGATTTCGAATTTTAAAGACGGGGATATACCTTGTACAGTTAACGTATTAGAAACCAAAGGAATATGGATCAACTTGGGGACAAGTACCACCCAGCAAGAGACTTACAATAAATCATACTCCAACCATGATATCTAAAGTGTGTAGTATTGTAACAGGTGAGAATCTGCGAACACAAAGGTCAGTTGTAAAAGCCATCCAGGTTCCATAAACAACGGTACACAACATACGTAAAACGACACAAATGATATTTACATAAGCTGGTTCCATGACATATCAGTTCAACTGCCTCTACGTCCTGCAGGTAGAAAATAAAACAGACATTCATGCCATTTTATACTAAGAATATACTAGTAAAGTCGCTAGAGGCAGCAGCTATGGATTACTGGGCGATCAAACTCTTGAAACAGGTGCTCATATATTGGATGGCTTATGAAAAGTATGCAGAAAGTAGGAGTGTGCTTTGGATATAACACCCTTACAACGAAGCCTTTTGCAATGGAAAGTACAATATTAGTGACGGTTAAATCCCACTGTTCAGTCTGAGAAGAGTAGCCTAAAAGCTGTCAATATTTGCTTTAAACTAACTGCCTCCTGTCTTGACTATCAGTTAAAAATTAAAGACAGTTTTGTGCAGACAGCTCTTGTGTAGCTTTGTGCGAAAAAAAAAAACAAACAAAAAACTCTTATTTTGTTATATGCATTTGTAGATTCCTTATCCTATCTTCCATGTGTGTAAATGTATTATAATTTTTCTGCCATCTTTATCAACTATTGCTTTACATTAACTATGACTCTTTTAAGGTAGTCGAATGCCTCGTCATCTAATTAGTGGAGCGCATTAATAGATTAACGAGATTCCCACTCTCCCTGTCTACTATCTCGCAAAACCACAGCTAAAGGGACGGCTGTAGAAAATGATTTTGAAAACTTACACATGTTAAATATATCTCCAAAACAACAAACAAGTATGTGGAACATAGTTATAAAATTATAAATAGGTAAACATATTATAATATCTGTCGAATTTCAAATTGATATATTTCTATTATTTTCCCAGTACACATTGTGGAAATTGTATCCTGATGTTTGCTTCCACTAGTGGGTCAGTGGTCAGTTTGCGGAGTAACAATGCTAACATCTGGGGTTCGATTCCCCGTAATGGACATAGTGCATATAATCGACTATGTGTTAATATTGGCAACCGTCGATTTTTATGGTGTATGAATAAGAGGTCTAGTCAGGTGCCTGATAAGTCCTTTTGTGGCTGACATGCCCAATTTGAGAATGATATAGCTTGTTACAAATTTCACAAGTTCACGTGTTGTCTGTGTTAGAATCCAAATTTAAAGTACATTGTTTTCTTCTTTCTCACTCTTTACTTCTATCTTTAGTTGAACTGCACATGGTGCCAGATGTTCCTTCCAGATTGTTTGGGAATTTGTGCACTCCTCCCAACTTTCTACACTGATGTTAAATGACTTCACATTATTTTTATACGTGTTTGTTGCCACCATAAAGGGCAACTCCGCTTCCAAGAGCCATCTCACATCATCCTAATATGGCCGTGCCAAGATAACCTCCAATTCTTAATAATGGTTTCTAAGTGTGTCAGTCCTGTGTGCTTTAGCACATCTGTGTTTGGTATTTTGTCTTCCCACTATATTTTCAGTATTTTAAATATAAATCTCACCTGGTTGATTGATCGATTGTTTGTACTT